CCTCTCTCGTCTTATCTAGCGAACTCTCAAACCCTTTTGTAATTCTTTTCATTTTCTATCCTAGTTTCCCACCCCCTCCCTTTTCCGCGTTTCCTTTTTCCTTCTTCTTCCCCCTTCAATAATATTTTCTTTCATTTGCTATTTTCCACCCATCTTTACTNGCTATTTTCCACCCATCTTTACCATCCCAACCTCCCTCAACCACCGATGGTCGGAAGAAAACCTGAGTCGTGCCGTTGTTTCGTAATCGAATTCATCTTTGCCAAAACAACAACGAAAAAGGGCAGATATTTGTAATGGTATTGGGTGGCCTCCACGGTTTCAAAACCATGGATTTTTATTGATTTGTTTCTGAAATTCCAAAATTAAATTTTTTGTTCTTGTTTAATCATGACCATAATGGTGTTGTGAATTTGATTTAAAAATAAGAGAGAGAGAGAGAGAGAGAGAGAGAGAGAGAGAAAGAGAACAATGAAGAAAAATAGAAAGGAGAAGAAAGAGGAAGAGTAAGGAAAGGTAGGGAGGTGGGCGAACGGAGAAGAAGGGGGACATGTGGGTACGAGTTACTGGGGTAGTAGAGAAGTGACATGTGGTTTTTCTCTTCTTCTTTTTGCATATGTAACTTATTTTTGCTGATTTAGTATTTATAAATGGGACCTACAAATATCACATGTCAAGTAATAAATAGTCTAACATATGACGTGTTGTACATATCAGCACAATTGATATATACGTTCTGCTGAATGTATTTATTAGTACTCGTTCTGTCAAGTTGAAGTGTTCAAATGAAAAAAATATAAGTTTATATATCGAGTTTGCAAACTGATACAAGTTTAAGTGGCCATAAGGCCGTTTGGCCTAATTTTTATGTAGCTCTAGACAGTTCGTAGACATCCACCATCCCAGAAGGAAATTCCTTATTGAATATATTTATCAACTCCACTTTCTAATATGATCTATTATTGAGTTCCCATTGACTTTAAGGGATGAAATGGTCTCCTTATATAGTCTTTGGTAATTCTCATCTTATGAACTAATTTTTGGAGTTGAGTTAGACAAAACTCTATTTTGTTATTATGGTATCAGAGTTAGGCCCATCCCAATTTATTATTTTTTAGGAGAAATTCAAAAATAACAAGATTTACAAGTGGTAATTGAAAAATAGCCTCAGTTTCAAAAGTAATCGAAATTTAGTCACTTTTCATGTAAAGATAATTCTGAACAAAAATATTGTTCAAAATCCGAAAAATATTTCAGCATATTATACTAGAGTTCCAGTATAACTCCAGTATAATATACTGGAACTCCAACATAATATACTAGAGTTCTAGTATAATATACCGGTCCAACATAATAAACTGGAAGTTCCAACATAAGTGCTCCAATTTCTAGTATATTATGCTGGAACTTTCCGCGTGTTGGAGTTCCAACATAATATGCTGGAAGTTCATACACAGGTGCACCAATCTCCAGTATATTATGCTGGAACTTTCCGCGTGTTGGAGTTCCAACATAATATGCTGGAAGTTCATACACAGGTGCACCAATCTCCAGTATATTATGCTGGACCGACCTGTATTACAGCAAAATAGTGGCTATTTTTTAATGACTTTGCAAATGCTAGTTATTTTTGAATTACCAGTCCGAAAACTGGTTAGCCCATGCTATTTTTACATTATTTTCGCGATGTTGGATCCCAATCTTATATTGTCCCTGCTTCAGATGTCCAGTCTTAGGCGTGAGGGGTGTTGAGTCCCATATCGACACTATAGGGATGAAATGGTTTCCTTATATGGCCTTGAGCAATTATCACCTCATGAGTTAGCTTTTGGGGCTGAGTTAAATAATATATATTTATTCTTCATCTATTTTTGTTTTCATCAACAAAACTCTCACTATTGAGAATTCTCCTTTTTAAATTAATATTAGTAGTTGTACCCGCGCGATGTGCGATCAATATTAAAAAATATTAATTAAATTAAATTGTGATCGGGCTTGTTTGAACATATTAGATAGTATTGCTTTAATAAATTTCAATTGTCATCTTATTTGTCAATATGATATACCCAATAATAAAATATCTTTTAAATTAAAGGGACTTATATAGTCATTGAATAATTTTTCTATCACGCGATGCACAGTCAATATTAAAAAATATTAATTAAATTAAATTGTGATCGGATTTGTTTGAACATATTAGATCGTATTGCTTTAATAAATTTTAATTGTCATCTTGTTTGTCAATATGATATACCAATAATAAAATCTCAATTAAATTAAAGGGACTTATATAGTCATTGAATAACTTTTTTATTCTATATTTTTCTTTATTCTATTATCCAATGTATAGTAGTTTTACATTGTTAATAGAATTTGTTTATTAGCATATTATTTTGTTTAATATTTTTGTTTGCTCACTTTCTTTTTGTAATATAAGAGAAGATATATATGTTTTAGTAATCTTGACATATTTTTTATTTTATATTAGCATATTATTTAATATCTTTGTCTACTACTTTCTTTTTATAATATAATAGAAGATATATATATTATTACTCTTAAAATATTTTTTTATTTTAAATTTTATCCTATTATTTTCAATAATATTATCTGAATTTTAATGAATAAAATCTCTATTAAATTAATGAGACTTATATAGGCATCGAATAATAGGCTTGTTCGGTATTTTTCTTTATTATATTATCTAATATTTAGTAGTATTGCATTGTTAATAGAAACTTTTATTAGCATATTACTTTATTTAAATTTTTGTATGCTACTTTCTTTTTATAATATAATAGAAGATATTTTTATTTTATTTTATATTTTATTCTATTATTATCAATAATATTTTCTGAATAAATAAACTTTTTATTTTTAAAAATAAAAACAAAAATTATTAAAAAAACAAAGAAATTTTGAATAGGCAGTTTTTTTTGTTTTTGTTGTTGTAATTTTAGTTTTTTTAAAAATAATTTAAAGACTCTAACTTGAAATTACTCTACAATTTGAATGGATAGATTTTTTTTAAAATTTTCGTTTTTTATTATAAAATATTTTATTTTATAGATATTTAAATTTAAAAACAATAAGCAATAACTAATTATTAACTAAATAACTAATTATTAACTACTTATGTCATGTGACTTTTTTCTAGGCTGTCACTTGGCTTAAGGAAAAGACTTTTTCCTCTCCTTTTAATAATAAATAGATAACTAATTGTTCGACTTTAAAATATACATTACTAATTATAACAAGGGGCTGAGTTATTCTTGTTTAAAAGGAGTTATTTGACACTATTGTTGGAGAATTATACAATATAGACATGTCAATTTTTTTAGGAAAGGGTCAAATATGCCTTTGATACTTTTTTTGGCCTTTGTTGTTGATATTTGCTTGTTTTTATTTTTATTTCAAGTCGAGGGTCTTTCGGAAACAATCTCTCTACCTCCCTAGGGTAGGGGTAAGGTATGCGTGCACACTACTCTCCCCGGATCCCACCAGTGAGATTTTACTGAGTTTATTATTATTGTCGTTGTTGGTCAAATATGCCTTTGAATTGTGCGAAATTGTTCAAACTTCTCAGTCGTTAATAGTTGAGATCAAATACACCCTTGTGGTTGCCGAGTGAGTTCAAATATACCCTTATTGATTTATGTTCAATCATTAAAAATTGATTAGTTTTTAGAAGGCCAATTAACACCAGCAAATGTCACGTGTTGGCTTAAAAAGGAGAAGGTGCAATAAGTTGGGCCTAATTAATGCATGAAGAGTAGGTCAACTTAATTCAAATTCAACCCAGCCCAAACAATTCAGCCCAAACCCATATCCACAAATCACACACACTTTTCCCCCAAATTCACTCACCATCTCACTCTAATCCCTACATTGCAAAAATCAATTTCACAGAAGAAGATTTCAAGCTAACCAAAAATGGGGAGGAAAAAGGGAGTAGAGTTCGACGAAGGAGCACCCGATGATTTCGACCCGAATAACCCGTACAAGGACCCGGTAGCTTTCTTCGAGATGAGGGAGCATTTGGTGAGGGAGAAATGGATCGACATTGAAAAGGCTAAGATCCTCCGCGAAAAGCTCCGTTGGTGTTACCGTATTGAAGGTGTGAATCACCTTCAGAAGTGTCGTCACCTTGTTCAGCAGTACCTTGATGCTACACGTGGCGTTGGGTGGGGCAAGGACCTTCGTCCCCCCTTTATGCACGGTATCTACTTTACGCCCTAACAAGATTTTAGTAATATTTTTAGATTGGAGGTTTTGTTTTTAATTTGTTTTGATTTGTGAATCTTATGTGTTTGTTGAATTGCAGGCCCAAAGGTTGTCGAAGCTGTCGAGTCCGAGTGAGACCCTTTTCTTAGGTCTGTTATCTCAGGCATTTCTCTTTCCCTTTTATTAGATTGGATCATTGAAAATGTTTTTCCGGATGTCTTTGATTATCTGATATTGTCTATTTGTTACAATTTATATGACTCTGTCTATTTTAGGACACTATAAAATGATGAAATTTCAATAATAAATAATATACTCATTCCTTCCCAATTTATGTGAGGGTGTTTGACCTGAGAGTTTTAAGAAAGAAAGAAAGACTTTTTGAAACTTGCTGACTAAAGTAAGTTATACAAATTTTTGGCTATAAGTCGATTTCATTAAGGGTAAAATGAGACGTTAAAAGTTAAGTTATGTTTAGTTGTTGAAAATCTTTGGCTACACTCTGTTGGTTGCATAAGCCATAACTGCCATCTCTTTGGCTGTGTTTGTGATGTCAACCCTTTTTAGGAGTAGTGTATATCAACTTAGATACTTCAACCTTCCTCCCGAAAATATTTTCTCATCTTAGGCATATAGCTAAATATATGGCATATGAAATACTTAATAAATTATATAAGAGCATATATCAACTGTATCTTGCAAAAATTCGTCATACTTAATTGGAACAGGCTCATCAAAGTACACATACACTGTCATGAAAACTTTAAATCATTAGCATAACTCATGCTAGGTATTCAAATTTCAAGATAAGGTAAGCAAATCATATCCGCATTTCCATGCATTTGTCTCATACACCATGCTGAAATCTAACTCAAAATAATAAGAATTAGAGTTAATTCCTACCTTTGGGCTTAGGAAATCCTTGTTAAGCAACAGGTCTTCTTAAATCATTCTTTCACAGTGATTCTTTCACGCTATTGCAGTATACAACTCAACTATCAGTTGAAACCTTTTTTTAGAAGGTTTATCAGTTGAAACCCTTTGTACCTTCCTAACACCTTTCACACCCTTGACCAGAAAATACCAAGCCAATTGGAAGAATTATTCAACCTGCAGTATTTCTGATAATACAATTTTCACAAAAGCTTTCTGTTTTCGCTAGAGAATTGTTGTCATCTCCACACACTGCCGTATACTGATCGTTAGGAGCAAAACTAGTAGAAGAAGGCCGGATTGCCTGATGCACCGGTCCGTAGATGTGAAACTATGGTGAGTGAAGGTGTTAAAAGGAACGAGGTAGACCTAAAATCACTTGGAAGGAAGTTGTCTCGAAGGACTTACAATCTCTTGGGATCCATGCAGATTTAGCGAAAGGAAAGATAGAGACAATGAAAGAAACAGATCTATATAAGAGAGACCTACTAGTTGAGAATATGTTTTAGTCATGCTAGCACTTTTACATTACGTCCTATGCTTTTATAGTAGTTGTTTAGCCTTTCAGAGATCTATATATTAGTAGAAAATATAAAGAACTACTACTATTTACTTCTATTTTTGTTTAATTTTGTATATTATTGGCTTGAGATGAGTTTATATGAAGTAACATGGTCAATGAGGATCATATAGCAGTTCCCAACTTGTTCGAGACTGAGGCTTAGTTATTGTTGTTTAGGTCAATTGTGGTTCTGGTCCTCGTATTATAGTGCTCAAAACTTTAAACCTTCCGTTTAAGGTGAACTTCATCCATTTAGTAATGGAATCAGCCCATTTACATAATAAATCTCATATATTTGGCTTCCACCTCAATCCTCCTTTGATATTCCCTATGTGCCATCATATCCCTCTTATACACTCTGTGATCTTGCCGCTAGCCCATACACCGCCTTCCTAGCTAGTTCACAAAGAATTGAGTAGGGATTCATGAAAAGGCTGCAAACTTTGTAACAATCTGGAGGAGCTAAAAATATACATTCAAAAGGGACAAAGGACTATCGAGCTTGTTTTGTAATTAAAACAAAGATTGAGCTTGTTAATATCCTATTGGAATTTATTGATTCTAGTAGGGGAAGGACTAAATTTGTATCTTTACAAATTAAGGATCAGATATACTACATGGAAACAGAAATTAAATTCAGTCTAAAAGACAAAGAGAAGTGCAGTTTACCTAAGAAATATGCACAACTAAGAATTTCGGCATCTCTTTGATACCACTTCCAGGAGGTTCTTTAACACTTTATACCACCATTCAGGTCAGTTGAAGAAATCATGTGTTCCTATAGCCATTGCCACTGCTTGTTCTTGCAATTGCAGCACAATTGTGATGGCAAAGCAAGATTCACTAGTCTTTTCATGTACTGTTATTACCTTGAACTATATTATTTGGTAAGGGCGAAAGAGGATGAGCTTTATCAAATAAAGAAAAGAAAAGGGGATGAAAGATGAGAGTTTGCAGGAGGGGAAGTAACAGAGGGTCTGGATTATTTCCTTTTCATATAGTTGCAGCACAAGAAAGAAGGGGCAATGAAGCTGGAAGATTATGCTTTCCTTCCATATGAGTGTTTTCATCCTTCCCAAAACTGGATGTGAAGGAGAATGTAAATGTCTTTTACTTTCATACCATATGTGGAACAAAATCAAGAAGTCAGTCCTCCTTTTCCCCAAGTTCTTGGATATAATGCTTTCTAACATTTAGTTAAATGTGCGCAAGGCAGTTGGCGAGTTTGTGAGGGTTCATCAAAAGTTGAATTATTTCTATTTGTTTGTCCGATGAGACTAAATTTCCAAAGAAATCTATGCCAGCTGAATAGTGATAACAAATTGTTTTGAGCTATCAAACATGTATTGTTCGGGCAAAGGTTTGCAACTCAAATTTTGTATTGTAGTTCGGTTCTCATGTTGTATATTGTAATGGTTCCTTGTCCACTTCTACACAAATTTTCTGCGAATCTATAATCTGCAATATATCCTTGTTTTGTTGTACATACAAAACTTTAGTGTCTTGAAGTATGACTTTCAGCTGGTAGTAGCTCACCCTCTCGTTTTTTGCAGGTTTGTCTTTCCAGTTAAAAGTATAAACTTCAGAGCTTGTTGGGCTACCAACAGTGCATCACTGGTGAATTTGAGTGTATCACTGTTTCTGTCATTCGCTGCTCTAAGACCTGTTTTATAGTTTCCTGTCTTGTGAAAGATGCCAATGGTTTGCATTGGCTTTAACTTCAGCCTTTTGCTCTTTTGGGGGAACATTTAATTCATACTGGAAATAAAGAAGAAATGTTCATGCTCTTTCCTTGTTGGTCTCGGCTTGTACTCCATACTTGCCATAAATGTGATCATATCCAGTTCGTCATGTTTGTCAGACAGAATGTGAAACATTATGAATATTCTAGTTTGAGAATCTCTTCAAGTGAGACTGTCTTTTCTTCTTCCCTCACTATTATCAGGTGGAGCCTTTTATTGAATATATTTTGATCTATATTGAAAATGGGAAGTTCCAGAAAACTTGTCATGCAGGGTTCAAGAGCATAGTTTGCGGTTAAGTGCCTTTCCTGCTGGGCCATTTTCAACTTTCTTTCAGTGGTTTAAGTTTAATCGAGTGTTGCCAAAGACGAGAATGTGGTAGCCTCATGCGTTCTCATTCTCATACTCGTAGGATGGTATCATGTTAAGAGCCCAGGTACTTTTCTACCCGTCCTTGCAAGAAATACTCGATGGATAAGGCAGTTCCGATTTGACTTTGGAAAGCCATTTCTTTAATACAAGTCCATTTTAGAAGCTCTGACCTTCTAACTTGAGCCTTTTTCTGGATCTGTTAGATTATTTCTATTGACTTCATTAGTTAAGGTACTGTTCTTGAAGCCTGACTTGATACTAAATGTCAATATGGATAAAAAAAAATTGTACCTCAGAAAACAGTATCATCAAAGACTGAAAGCTTCAAGTCATTTCCAGTAACTGCATCTTCCTAAGTTTTCAGATCTCTACTAATGGAAGGTCCATGGGAGGATTTCCGTTAACCCGAAATGGACTGATTTCTAATTTAACTCACTGTCAAATAACTGTTAGTCCTCAAACCCCTTACTGAACTTTTGACTAATTAAGGACTGAGCTGATTGTTCTTCTATGAATTCCAATGTAGGCTCTTGTGATTCCGTTTTCTTTGTGGGATTGGCTTAACAAGCCAAAGAGTATCTCTCTCGGTTGTATGGCAATACTACTTAGATTGGAGTATCAATTTTATACCCCTAATAAAAGAACTAGTTTAGCTTATAATTTTGAGTCTTTGGACTATTAGAGTAGAAGAAAAATACACAAGTCAGACTAATCACAGAGAAGAATGTGATCGTTTAATTTGTTAAGAAGATTTTATGAATAAAAATAATCTAACAACTCAAATTTTGAATGAGTAAGCAGTATATAAATATTTTTTTTATATAAGCATACCAATCATTTTGTGATTATCCAAAATAAAAAGGAGAAAACATCACTAAAAAATCACGTAAAGAATTGGTGAACGAGTACTCATGCAAAGTGAAATAGCCAAAGATAAGGATCGAAAAATAATTTGATATCGTGAGAATAAAGATCAATTTTCCTTATTACAGGATAATTAGTGAGCATGTTTTCAAATTAGAATTAATAACTTAATAGAATATTTGTCATTTGTACAAGCATTACAGTTAAAATATATGGAAGGCTCTTCTTGAGCGTTGTTTTTTCTTTGAACATCAAAAAACTAGTTCATTTTTTGATCTTACCGTTTGGACAGAGTCCATCTCTACCTACTCTGAATTGTTCATCTTATAATTACGACTTTACTACTACTATATTATATTAGTATAACAGAAGTTTTGAATGAATAGCTTGATCACAATGACCGCAACCAAATTGCGTGGAGATTCGAGCTCATTTTTCTATTTCTTTCTTCATCTCTACTTACTAGTAAATTTTGGCGCTTGGTTAGAAAATTGGTGATTTTTTTTTTTTTTGGCAAATTCTTTTTAAAATTTTTGCAGACTTTGTTTACTTCCTAAGCTTCTTGAAGAAACAAGTACTCCCCTCATTTCATTTTAAGTGAAAGTGTTTGATTATGAGTTTAAGAACAAAACAAATTAAAAGTTTATGGTCTAAAATATTCAGACATTTCTATGACTATAAAATTTATTATCACAAATAATATAGGAAATGTAAAATAGTTAATTATTTTTAAATATAAAAAGGTGTAGTGTCATCCTTTTTTTAATTAATTAAAAAGAAAATTTGTCACATAAAATGAATAGCAAAGTAGGAGTGGTTTCTTTCAACGTTTGCCAGAAAGTTCGATTGTTCTTTTCAGTTTTGCTAGAAGAATATTCTTAAGTTTTTCAAAAAAGATTTTCATTACATTTCAAAATAATTGTAGATTTCCAAAAAAACTCCATAAACCACCCCAATAATAATATCTTTAATTTAGTAAGTTTGACTTAGGGTATGTTTGGAAAGCCACCTGGTAATTGGAATTGGTGTAATTATTAGGGTAGTAATTACACAGCCTAGTAATTACACAATATAGTAATTACGACGACCTGTTTGTTTATCATAACGTAATTACAGTGTAATTACAAGTATACTGTTTGGTTGCACAAGTGTAATTACACAATTAGATTAAATTTTAAATAAAGTAATTATCAAAATTTAAAAGTTAATATAATAAATATATGCCTATAAATAATTTTTTATAAGTATAAATAATATAAGATTTGGAATTTAAGATGCACATTTTTTCTTGAATATATATTAATTAGTAATCATATATTTATAACTAATATTGTAAAAATAATTATTATATATTTTCTAAATTAATAATATTTAGTTTCATTAATTATAAAAACTAAAAATATACATTTTGTAATAACACCACGGAATGCATGTTTGATAAAATAAATTAATATTTATGAATAAAATATCATAACATTATTCAAATATTTGACAAAATTAATCTATCAATTTTAACTAAAAAAATGAACAACATGCAATGTGAAATACCAAGTCAATACTCAATACTACTAAAATAAGTAAATTAGAACCATAAATATAATACAATTTCAAAATTAAAAAAAAAACAGTTTAACATATTCAAATTCCAACATAATAAAAATAAGTTTCAATACAACATAAGATTAGAAAATATAATAAGTTTATAGCCTCATTCAACAACGAAATTTTACTTTGATGAAATCACTCATTATATGTCGAGTTTGTTAATGACTCACTATTTCTAATATTAGGAGGTGTAGTTTCAAAAACTAGAATAATAACGCAGTTACGCTACATGAAGAAAATAAAACAAATAAGAAATAAAATATACGAGCAATTACATGGATTCACAAGAAGTAAAGGTAGAAAATAAAAGATAAATAATGTACAAAGAAATAATATTTTAAAATTAAAAAAAAAATTAAAATTAAAAATTAAATAAAAATAAATTTAAAATAATAGAAATAAAAATTTATAAAAAAAATAAATATAAAAAAATTTTTAAAAAAAATTAAAAAATTATTTACACAGTGTAATTATCACCAATTAATTTTCACTTTTTCTTAAAAATTAAAAAATATAATTACACCTTTCTAATTATACTCGACCAAATAATTATTTGGTTAGACAAATATGTCTAACCTACATTCATTTACGTCCAAATTCAATTCCCACGTGAATTTCCAAAGAAGCAGAGCCAGCCATCTGGTTTTTTCCTAGAAGTTTCGAGTAATGCGAAAGAAACAATAGAAAACGACAGTGGTGTGAGGAGTCTGAGCTGCACCTAACGGAAGCGTAAACTCCAATCGCCTACCGACAACATGATCATCCACATCGATTTTTAAAAAATGATTTAGTATATTTAATATCCTATGCCTCAATTTATATGCAACACTTCGAATTTTAAGAGTCAAATGAATCAATCTATTGACACCATGGCATTGGTATACAACTTTGAATCTAACACCGACCTAGTAACTATTCGATTGGCCCTGCAATGGTAGAACCTAGTCAACCAAACATACTATTTTCCTAACCTTTTGTAAACTTTGCTTCCTTATGATTTTGCTAGTGTTTTTGTACCATAATTTTTTTATTCAATAACAACGGCCCAGTAAAATTTTATAAGTGAGATCTGTAGAGAGTGGTGTATACGCAAATTTTATTCCTATCTCGATGAGACAGAGAAGTTATTTTCGATAAACCCTCGATAATTTTTTTATATTCCTATTAAATTTTTGAAATTATTAATTATTGTGACTTATAATACTAGTTTTTAAATATTTATAGTTTTATTTTAAAAAAAGCTTAAATTCTCAATTAGTTTTTGCTACATACTCAATTAATATTTATTTATAATATTAGTGGTCTAATTGTATTTATAAAGAAAGCGCGTCTGGTGCTTTTGTATACATTTAGCGTCATTGGAGCATCTCAATGATAATGGCATTTCCATGAGATCATATTCCTTATGTCACTTCCCATTTTTTACAATACCAACCGCTTTCATCAAAACAATCAACTCAGCAGCCCACATCACCAACGAGCTAAACGTGAAAACAATATAGTCCAAATCATATAGTAGAAGAGAGACAAAGAGGAGAATATAAAGCGAAGGAAAAGTCACTTTTAAGATTTTGACGCCGCTAATGGAGGGTGAGAAGAAGAGGAAGAGGACAGTTAACGGCAGCGGAGATCGGAGAAGAGAAGTTGCAGCAGGTGGAAGTAATGCAGTATTCACGCCGCCGCCACCACCGCCTTCAGAGGCGGAGGTTGAGGAGTTCTTCGCTATTTTACGGAGGATGCACGTCGCCGTGAAGTATCTGGAGAAGAGTGATCCGATTCTACCTGCAAACGTCAATCGCCACGGTAGTAGGTTAACGGCGATGGAGACTGATACTGACGGTGTTGGACGGATTCCGTTACGGAATGGTGGTTTGGAATTGGACCTGAACATGGAGCCAGAACCAGAGACTAACGGCGTTTAAGCTGATGTCAAGGAAGTAAGCACGCGGCCGGTTATGGTATCTGATGTACAGGTTAAGCTTTTCTAAGCAATCAAGCAAAATACTTGTTTTTTACTTTTTTAGTATTTGTTTTTTTGTCAAACGAAATTTATTTTGAAGTAGAAGTAAAAATTACGAAACTTTGTATCATTGTGCAAGAGAAAATTGAAAGCTATAGAGCACACGATATGTAATTTGATTTTGATATTTGATTAATCCAAAATTAGTATAGCAATTATACGATTTTCTTTCTAGTGTCAAAACATGTATGAGTGCATCTAGAGGTGAGAATTAACAATTGTCGAATCAAATAAGTGAGTACAGTAGTCTATCATCCGTCTCTCCGTCCCTTTAGAATAGAGATAAGGTTACACTGTCCTGTTCAAATTCCACTTACCAGAATTCAC